GATGGATGGATGGATGGATGGATGGATGGATGGATGGATGGATGGATAGATAGATGGGTGAGTGGATGGGTGCATGGATGAAATGAGCAGAAGAGAAACAAATTCCTTCTTTGTCCAAGTCCCTCAATCTCTTTTCCTCCCTCTCTGTCTCTGTCTCTCTAAAGCTATCTTTATTTCTGTGACACACCCACCTCGCCTCCAGCCCCGACCAATCATTCTGTCATCCCTTAAATTCTGAGCTGTCTAAAACTAGAAGGAGCCCTTCTGGAGGTGAGTTTCCTAAACCTCAAGGTCTTTGAATGGAGACTAGATAACTACTAATAAAAGTTGTACAGGGGGGTACTTTTTGAGGGAATGGTTTGGACAAGATGTCCCCCACCCCAGATCTCTTTCATCTCTGAGGTTCTGCAGTTCCAGGGGCTTTGGGTCATTGGCTTCTCCAAAGGGGTCCTTCCTGCCTGGGGTAATGGCTTTCTATGGTCTACGTCCTAAGGGAGATAAGCAGCATTGTAAGCCCTGGGGCTCTACGTAGACCCAAAGAGAGAGGCCCGTGGGAAGGAGGATGAGAAGCCACAGCTCAGAAAGGTTTATTTTATTCCTATTCCAACACCTTCTCACTCTTATACCCTGTGGGAGGGCTGACCAACTGAAGAGAGAGGTCTGGGCCTCTCTCTTCAGGGGATGGGGTAGAGGGAGTTATGAAAAGGCCTTGAGAGCAGGACTACAGGAAGACATAGTCAACCAAGGGATGGTTCCCAGGTAATTGTTGTGGATGAACGTCCCCAGTAGAGTGAAAAGCCTTGGAGTCAGACAACTGGGGTTCGAGGCTGACTCTGGCATTTGGGGTCAGAGGCTATTAGTGCCAGAAGGGGCTCTTCAACCCATCCAATCCAACCAGACCCCTCATTTTATAGAGGAGGAAACGGAGGTTCAGAGTGGCTTGCCATGAGTCACACAGGAAGTTGGCGATGGGACCAGAACTTGACCCCAGACCCTTATTATTTCCTAGTACACTGTTCTTCCCACTATGTTTTCCTCCCTTTCCTTCTGTAACCATTCGGCGACCCCAGGATTCTTTGGCCTCTTTTTGTATTCCCAGCACTTAGCCCAGTACCTGGTACACAGTAGGCACTTCATAAATGTTTACTGAATTGAACTGAGTTGTTGTGAGGGTTGAATGACCCTCAGAAACCTTGAAGCACTATAGAGGCGTAGGCTGTTTTTATTGCAGCCTCTATGCTCCAGGGCACCACAGAATCCAGCATGGTGGGAGCCTTGGGTAACCCAGCAAGGTGGGCCAAGTGCAGACTTGAGAGGGAGGTGGCCGTGAGGAGGTGCTGACTGGGTGTCCAGGGAGCGCTGTGGTGAGGGGTGACAGCTGGCAGGAGCCCCGTGCTGGCTGCTGACTTTGGCTAACGCCGAGGGACCTCGGATTTTTCCTAGTAGTGCTTGCCCAGGGTGTTTGCTGGGCAGGAAGACAGGGCACATTCACACGGCAGAGAGCACCGCCACCCTCCCCACCCCCATGGCTCCCTGAGAGTCCAGCAGAGAAGGGAGGAAAAAGCAGCTGCCAAGCCAGGAGAGAGCTAGGCACACAGGCCAGGTCCCCGAGGCAGGACAGCTTCTGAGCGTCTGGCAGTGCCCAGAATCCCTGAGAGAGACGCTCCAGCTCTTCCTGGGCTCAGAGGGATTGGAGCCGTAAGGGATCTGAGAGCATGCTACGGCCAAAAGAGGGAGCTCGCTCTGTCCAAGGTCACCTAGGCAATAAACAGCAGAGCTGGGATTCGAACCCAGGTCCTTGTCGTCCGGAGCTTGAGGAAATTCCAGCAGGCACAGCAAGGAAGAGGGGGTGGAGGTTCTGGGGAAAAGGATTTCAACCCAGCAGAAATAACTTCTTAGATGAAAACTCTGAGCAGAATGGGCCACCTCCAGAGGAGGTGGGGTCCCCATGACTAGAAAGCTTCCAGGGCTCTGAAGAGGGGCTTCAGAGATCACAGCTTCTGAGCGGCGCGGGACCTTGGGCATGAGTCCAAACTCCTCACACAGATTACTAAGAAGAAGAGGCAGGGAAGTGGTATAGTAGATAGAACACCAGCCCTGGAGTCAGGAGGACCTGAGTTCAAATCCAGCCTAAGACACTTACTAGCTGTATGACCCTGGGCAAGTCATTTCACCTCTGTCAGCCTCAGTTTCCTCATCTATAAAATGGGGACAACAATAACACCTACCTACCTCCCGGGGTTGTTGTGAGGATCAAATGAGATAATACTTGTAAAGTGCTTAGCACAGTACCTGGCACATAGTACGTGCTATGTAAATGTTAGTTGTTATTATCAATAGGAAGTTAGACGGTGTAGTGGATAGAGTGCTGGGCCTGGAGTCAGGAAGACTCATCTTTGTGAATTCAGATCTGGCCTCAGACACTTCCTGGCTGTGTGACCCTGGGCAAGTCACTTCACCCTGTTTGCCTCCGTTTCCTCACCTGTAAAAGGAGTCAGAGAGGGAAAAGGCAAACAACTCCAGTATCTTTGCCAAGAAAACCCCAAGTGGGATCACAGAGAGTTAGATGTGACTGAAATGACTGAACAACAAAATTATTACAACTAACAATAAGCTATATAGCATGTAAGGTGCTTTATAAATATTAACTCATTTGATCCTCACAAGAAACCTGTGAGGTAGCTGCTATTATTATCCCCATTTTACAAATGAGGAAACTGAGGTGCCAGAGGTTAAGTGATTTGCTCAGGGTCACAGAGCTAAGTAGGTGTCTGGGGTAGAATCGGAACTCAGGTCTTCCTGATTCTAAGTCCAACTCTCTAACTAATACACCACCTAGCTGCCTCTAGATCAGGGGTGGGGAACCTGCGGCCTCGAGGCCACATGTGGCCCTCTAGGTCCTCAAGTGCGGCCCTTTGACCGAATCCAAACTTCACAGAACAAATCCCTTTAATAAAAGAATTTGTTCTATAAAACCTGGACTCAGTCAAAAGGCTGCACCCAAGGACCTAGAAGGCGACATGTGGCCTCGAGGCCGCAGGTTCCCCACCCCTGCACTAGATGAAGAAACAGGGGTCATACAGCTAACAAGAATCTGGGCAGAATTTGAGCCCAGGTCTTCCTGACTAAAACTAGAATGTCTCGTCCACTTCACCAGGCAGCCTCTCAGACACTGACCAGATGCCTTCTGAGATCCGCTCTTGTGTAGATTCTATTATAGTGTAATTCAGGAAGGAAAAGCTTCCTGACTCGAAACTGTCAAAAATGGATGACCTTGACGGGCAGTGAGTTCCCCGTCACTGGTTATCTTCAGGTGGGGGCTGTGCCACAGTGGAGATCCCTGTTCAGGGCGAGGTGGGCGGCACCAGCTGCCAGGTCACGCCCAGCTCCGGGCTCCTGGGATTGGGCAGAGAGCAGGTGGGCGGGGCTGCGGCCTCACGTGCCTGCCGTCCCCTCCCATCCCCCCCAGGTACCTGGCCAAGTTGTCCTCGGTGGGCAGCATCTCTGACGAGGAGACCTGCGAGAAGCTGAAGGGGCTGATCCAGAGGCAGGTGCAGATGTGCAAGAGGAACCTGGAGGTGATGGACTCCGTGCGGCGCGGGGCGCAGCTGGCCATCGAGGAATGCCAGTACCAGTTCCGGAACCGACGGTGGAACTGTTCGACTCTGGACAGCCTGCCGGTCTTCGGCAAGGTGGTGACGCAAGGTGAGGGGACGGGGAGGGGGCAGGGCCCTGGAGCCCCATCCTCCCACACACATCGACATTTCTCAGCTTCGCATTGATATTGCCAGGGAATCACACAGAGCAGGTGCTTAATAAGTCCTCGATTGACTGATTAGGCATTCAGTTCTCTGAGCCTTAGTTTCTTCATCTGTAAAATGGAGGTAATGATAATTTCCCCCGTCTTCCTCACAAAGGATCATAAGTTGAAATCCTGGCTTTAGAGTTAGAAGGGACTTTCATGGCCATCCAATACATCACACAACTAATAAGTGTCTGAGGTGGAATTTGAACTCAGACCTTCCTAATTCTAAGTCGAAAGGTCCATCTGCTGTACCCAGGTGTTGTGAGAAAAGCATTTAGCAAGTCTGAAAACTCAAAAGGCTTCAATAAATCTGAGATGTCCTCCACCTGGAAGTTCTCCCCAAATGATGCTTAGCACAGCGCCTGGCACACAGTAGATGCTTAATAAATGTTTATTAACTGACTGACTGACCGACTGCTGCAGATCACAACCCATCCATTTATGCCCACCCTGTGTGACTTTTATTCATGTTCTCCCATGATTTGACCATAGGGGGAACTGCACAATGCAATGGAACATAAAAACTAACTATCAATTATGCTTCATAGAGAGGTAAGGAGGGAAGGAAGGAAGGAAGAAAGGAAGGAAGGAAGGAAAGAAGAAAGGAAGGAAGGAAGAAAGGAGGAGGGAGGAAGGAGGGAGGGGGGAAGGAAGGAAGGAAGGAAGGAGGGAGGGAGGGAGGAAGGAAGGAAGGAAGGAAAGAAGGAAGGAAGGAAGGAAAGAAGGAAGGAAGGAAGGAAAGAAGGAAGGAAGGAAAGAAAGAAGGAAGGAAGGAAGGAGGAAGGAAGGAAGGGAGGGAGGAAGGAAAGGAGGGAGGAAAGAAGGAAGGAAAGAGGGAAGGAAGGAAGGAAAAAAGGAAAGATATAGTAAGTATCTACTATATGCCAGGCACTGTGCTAAGCACTTTATAGATATTATTTCATTTGAACCTCACAACAAGCCTGTAAAATGAGCTGGAGAAGGAAATGGCCAACCACTCCGGTGTCTTTGCCAAGAAAACCCCAGATGGGGTCACGGAGAGTTGGACAGGACTGAACAACAAGCCAAGCCCTAACTCCAGCACCAATGACCTTTGTGCTCCACCATGCTGCCTCCTACCACATGGAGACAACCATACATCCTACCTACAGACAGGGCCTCCCACAAGCCCTTTGATGTACACTCATGCCCCATGCCTGGATACCCACCCAAGCCCCGTAAGTAAGGTGCGTGGGCCAGTTCACTGACCAGCTCTGGACAGGGCTGAATGTGAGTCAGACAACCTGGGTTCTAGTCCCTAAAATAGATATTCCAAAGTCAAATACCTACAGTGTTGCTGACATGATAATTCCCAGTGTGGATATTCCTTCTGCCAACAGATCAGCAAGCAGACATTCCTTCTTCCTACCTTTCCAGTCTTCTCTCAGTTTTCTTCCTTTCATCTGGCTTTCTTGTTCCTGGTACACAACTCCCTGCCCTGCCCCTGCCTACCTGTCCCCACTCCCCATGGGGCTGTCCCCCAGGCCTGGAATGCCTCCTGACTTCCTTCCAGTCTTTGGCTAAATTCCCTCTTTCTGGAAAAAGCCTCTCCAAACCCCCTTCGCTCCCCTCACTTGCTCTTAGTATCTCCCATCTACCCTCTGCAGATCTTGTACAGATATAGTCATTTGCCTATTGTTTTCCCAATTAAATTATGAGTTCCTTACAGCTGGAAGCTGGTTTTACCTTTCTTAACATTCCAGCAATTAGTGTAGGATTGGCACATAGTAAGTGCTTAATAAATGCTTTTTGACTGACTGACCGAATTAAGAATTAAGAGTGATAAGAATTAAGAAAATGGTCAATGTGCAGAAAGTGGAAAATCTCCAAAAATCCAGAGAAGCAGTAAACAAGAGGCGACTTCAGCAGGAAACAAGACGGCTCACAACAGAGGGCAACTAAGAGGAGAGGTTGGAAAATCACCGAAATATCCAAAGAATTAAGGGATGGGCCCAGAGGGTAGATCATGACACAGCAATCTTAGAGTTATTGACAGCCCAGAAGATTCAGAAAAACTAAATGAAACAACAGAGGGGAGACATCGGTATAATTAATTTGGGTCACTATTCTTAGTACCTCAGTTTCCTAATTTGTGAAGTGAAGGAGTTGGACAAGATGGTCTCTAAAGTGCCTCCCGGCTCTGATATTCGTGGGTTCTAAGGTCCCTCCCAGCTCTGATACTGTGTTCTAAGGCCCCTCCAAGCTCTGACATTCTGTGTTCCAAGGACTCTCTCAGCTCTGACATTCTGTATTCTAAGGCCCCTACAAGCTCTGACATTCTGTATTCCAATGCCCCTCCCAGTTCTGATATTCTATGTTCTAAGGCCCCTCCCAGCTCTGACATTGCGTTCTAAATTCCTTTCTGGTTCTGATGGGAGCTTTGTTCTAAACTTCCAACCATCCCTGACATTCTATATTCTATGGTTCCTTGAAACACTGATGTTCTCTGCTCTGTATCTTTTTCAGTTCATACATTCTACGTTCACATTAAAGTCCCTCACAGATCTAAATCCTACTGAATGATACTGAAAATTTTCTTTCTTATAATCACCTCTTTGTAGACATCTTCCATGCCCTTGAGGAAGTTTACAGAAACAATGAGGAAGCAAGTTTTCCTCCCTTAAGTAAGCTTGTAATTCAGATGCCAATAATAACAGTAACAATATTACCTGGATTTTTATGGGGGCATCCCCCGAGTGCCCCAAGCTCACTAGGCAGGTGGTATCCTCCCTTCCTCTCTCACACTCACCCGAATATCAAATCTACTGCTGAGTCTTGTTTTTTCTCCCTTCACACCATCTCTAGTAGATGTCCCCTCCTCTGTACTCGTGTGGCCACTCCCCTCACTCAGGCCCCTCTCCCTTGGACTGCTGCAGGTCTCCCTGCCTCAACCAAGTCTCTCCCAACTCCCGCTACCAAAAGTTACCAAATCTGACCATGTCACTCCCTCCACAATTAGCTCCAGGAGCCACTATTTCCTCCAAGATCGAGTACACAAATCTCTTGTTTAGTCTTAAAGTTCTTTACAACCTGTTTCCTTCCTACCTTTCCATTCTTACACCTTGTTCCCCTCCACACACTTTACAACCCAGCTCTGCTGGCCTCCCTTCAGTTCCCAGTACAGGACACTCCATCTCTGTACCTGTGACTCTGTCTGCATGGCTGCCTCCTGTGGCTGGAATAGCCTGCCCTCTCACCTCCCCCACTTAGGTTCCCTGAGTCCTTCAAGAATCAGATCAAATCCCACCTTCCCCAGGAGTCCTTTCCTGGGCCTCTCAGCTAATAATACCTTCCCCTTTAAAACTGCTTTTCATCCACTCTATTCTCTCTCTCTTTCATATATAAAAATATATATATATATACACACACACACATGTATGTATATAAACACAAATATATAGATACATATGTGTATAGATATATGTGTACATGTATGTATATATGTATTTCTCTATATGTGTAGACACAGATAGATAGATATAGATATAGATGGATACTAGTTATTTACCTCTTGTCTCCCCTATTAGAATTTACATTCCTTGAAAGCTGAGACTCTTTTTGTCTTTTTTTTTTTTTTGTATCCTCTTATGCACAGTGCCTGGCATAGAAAAAGAACTTAAATGATTGTTGGCTGTTCAATGAGATTAGTATTCCTATTTTTCAGATGGCAAAACTGAGTCCCACAGAGTTTAAATGACTTTCCCAAATTCACACAGTCAGGAAATAAGGGAGCCTAAAGTCAAACCTAGCCCATCTGACTCTAAATCCTGTGCCCTTTCCTTTACAAATTAAGACTCAATAAATAAATAAACTCAATAGGACTCAATAAACTCAGTAAAACTCAATAAATGTTTGCTAAGGGCAACTAAGAGGTTCAGTGGATACATCACCAGGCCCTAAGTCAGGAGGCCCGAGTTCAAATCCAGCCTCTAACACTTGCTAGTTGTGTCACCCTGGGCAAGTCACTTCACCCTGTGTGCCTCAGTTTCCTCATCTGCAAAATGAGCTGGAGAAGGAAATGGCAAACTACTCTAGTATCTCTGCCAAGATTGAAACAACTGAACAACGACAAAAGAATGTTTGCTGAATACCTCTGCAGAGCCAAAATTCACCTAGTTCAGAACCTTACGGTTAACCTCAGTTCTTCCCTCTCCCTTATCTCTCATTTCCAGTTCGTTGCTGAGTCCTTTCACCCACATCTCCTATAAGATCTCTTTCATCTGTGGCCTCATCTCTGTCTTTAGGCACCAAACTGGGAGGGATGCAAAGACTGAAAAACTAGAGCCCCTGCCCTCAAGGAGCTTACAATCAAACCGAAGAGTAGAGGACAGTATATAGCATAGCCATTGGCATGGGAATACTGCAGATTCCTGTACTGGCCGAATTGCATGCTGGGTAATTACAGCATTGCTTGATCCGGGAGTGCAATGAGTGCCATAAAGGGCTAAGAGGAAGGAGAGAGCAAAGGAGTGAGGGAATGGGCCTCATTTAGATGTTAATCCCATGATCCCATGAGAAGGCACTGGTTAGGAAATGAGTGAGAATCAGGGAAAGCTTCCTGGATGAGGTGGCCTTTGAGCTGGGAGGTTTGCTAGAAAAAAGGAAGGCTGAGGGATAGCAGAGCCATCACTGACTGCCACTCTGAAGCCTGCTTAGGCTCATTCTCCATACTACCATCTCTCTCCACTCAGCCTCCTGCAGACTGGCTCCATAGCCTTGAGGAAGCCGTCTCGCCTACTTGGGACTCTGTTTCCTGCTCTGTAAAATGAGAAGGTTGGATAAGGATTGGAGATTTCGAAGGGAAGTTGAAGATTAGCTCATTTGCGCTCATCATTTTTTGCAGATGAGTAAATGACTGTCCTGAAGTCACCCAGCCAGTCAG